GTTTCTGATACAACTTATGATTGACTTCCAAGCCTTGTTTATTTACAACAATGTTTCGCTACGCAAAGCTTGTAAATAAACAAGCCGCACGAAAGTACACGCTATTATGAGGACCCGATGTTAAATCATTAGTATTAGTTGAGCTTTGGCGTTAATTGCGGTCAATAGTATAATAGATTCTTGTTCTTATTTTTTGATATTAGTAAAAATGCGTACTGTTGAGAAGAAAATTTTTCTTCTCAAGAGAATATTCTCTTCATGTGTTGGTGAGTGAAAAATTTTCTTCTCAGCAGTACGCATTTTCACTAATATCAAAAAATAAGAAGAACAAGAATCTATTATACTACTGACCGCAATTAACGCCAAAGCTCAACTAATACTAATGATTTAACATCGGGTCCTCATAATAGCGTGTACTTTCGTGCGGCTTGTTTATTTACAAGCTTTGCGTAGCGAAACATTGTTGTAAATAAACAAGGCTTGGAAGTCAATCATAAGTTGTATCAGAAACTGAAATTTAATGTGCCACGATCGTATCAATATTGGTATATTAGATAATGTTATATATATATATATATACTTATGTATATATATATATATATATACTCATTGATATATATGTATATATACTTCAACTACAAATTGTATATGGCATGGGCATTGAAAAAAAGAAAAAATAGCAAGAAATGGGCATATCTAAAAAAATGTATCTTTTTCGATTTTCTGTTCAACGGGGATTGTTTTTATATGTTAGCAGAAGTTACTTCACGTCGTTAGTTTCGGGGTGCAAGGCTGCTTTATTCAAATTTTTTTAAAAACACCGTGTATAAGTGGTAGATAAGCTAGTATGTTATATATGACGCTGTATGTGTATAACAGTCCCAAATAAATATTATTTTGTGGTTACAGAAACCATCCGGCATCGAACTTGTTTTCAAGTTGACAAAACGGCTAACCTGCTCGCCGAGCAAATCAACATATTGATTGTTACTTATACAAATCCAATCAATCACTCCGCAAGCATAATAACCGCTTTGCCGTCTTGAACTCATCCATTACTTTTCGTGGCTCGCAGCGCTTGAAGTGGGAACTATGATCCAAACTCTGCTCATCAGGGTTTACAGATGCAATAGCATCAATGATAACTAAAGTTATTTGTGAAAAAGTATAAGAATAATCTTTTAAAACTATATCTGTTTATTCATGTAATTTTTGTTTTAAGCTGTATAATACAACACAGTATTTAATATTCATGTAATTTTTGTTTTAAGCTGTATAACACAGTATTTAATTATTATAACTGACGTTACTTGTGTGAATGTGAAAAAGTATGAGAACTTTTAATAATCTTTGAACTGTGTCTGTTTATTCATATATAATTTTTGTTTTAAGCCGTATAATGCAAAATATAGCTGCGTTTTATTTTTCTAAAGACATTGAATATATAAGAACTTCTCTTTTAATATGAAATTTATTAGTTTTAAGCCATATGATATTTAGCATAAAAATTATACATTAAATGTTAACACTTAATATGTGAATTTTCAAATACATATATATATATATAAAAATTTACTGCGATATCTTGAAAATCAAATCGTTTCATTTTATTAATATTAGATAGACCCTTAATTTCCCTTAATTTCTCGACGGCGAATAACTAGAATAGTTCCTCGATGGTGAATATCTAAACATCCACTTCCTCGACGGCGAACTCATTTTCTCAACAGTTTCCTCGACAGCAAACACCTAGACAGCACCTAGACGCTTAATTCCTTGACGGTTATCTAGAAACGGCGAACACCTAGACGCTCATTTTTTATACGACAAACACCTAGACACCCATTTCCTCGAAAATGAACTTAGGCACTCTCTTCATCGAAGACGAATACCTAGACATCCACTTCCTCGAAGGCAAACACCTAGACACCCATTTCTTCGACGACGAACACCTAGACACCCACTTCCTCGATAGCGAACACCTAGACACTCATATCCTCGACGGCGAACACCTAGACACTCATTTCCTCGAAGGCGAGCACCTAGACACTCACTTCTTCGACGTCGAACACGTAGACACCCACTTCTTCGAAGGCGGACACCTAGACACTTAGTTCCTCGAAGGCGAACACCTAGACACTTTGTTCCTCGAAGGCGAACACCTAGACACCTATTTCCTCGACAGCGAACACCTAGACACTCACTTCCCCGAAATCAAACCTGTAGACACTTACTTCCTCGACGACGAACATATAGACAACATCTAGACACTTAATTCCTCGATATACATACATATAGTGAATACCTGGTACCTAGATATAGTTTCTCTATATTTCGATATTTCAATTTTAATATTTATATATACATAATAACATTATATACATATTATTAATATAATATTTTATTTTTAATTATAAGATTTATAAACCGCGCGCATGTCATAACCATGCAACACTGGTCTGCTGGTTAGATATAGATAGATAGAGTGAAATGATAGAATACATAGAGTGAGATAACACATAAAGTCAAAGGCCCTCTATTATCGAAAAAACGAGATGGACATTTTCTCTGGTCGACGATGACAATAATAACGACGTATCTTAAAAATTGAAACGTGAAAATTCACAGATCCGGAATTTGCGTCGCGATATCTCCGCTCGTAGGGCACGTAGAAAAAAAATGAAAGCACTTTTATTATACAATTTTAGTATTTCCTGTCGATTGAGCGTATGTAGAACTTGATCGGTTCAGCCGTTACTGAGATCTGATCATCTCGACCCCGAAAAATTACCAGTTTCGCGTAAAGGAGGCACGGCAGTGTCGCGCGCTTGGCTTAGCGCCGAGACACTACCGTGTCTCCAGATAAGAATACAGTGCAATCCCTTACAGAAATTTCATGATAATCAGTGCAAACTAATACCTATTTCATACCTATGCAAACTAATGTTTTCAGTCGCATTAGGCGCATTAGGCTTTTTGCCACATAAATAACATATCTTGACCATTTTTGCCTGTGTACAACAGCACACATCTAATAAGCATAACGAGCATAACCTGTTCGCGTCATCTCACTGATCGCACTCTATTTTCCTATTGGCGGATGCAATCAATCCAACGCATGCGCACAACACTCAAAGTACTCTTAGAAAGAGAGGGAAATATATATTCCCGCACCGTGGTTCTGGGACCGCTTCCTCTCACTCCCTCTTATAGGCACTAGCCATATAGTAGTATTACATATATGTATATAATATTCACTCTTTAACATATCTTATATATGATCGCACTAATAACAGCGAATAGCTCTCATTAGCCGATTTATTCTTGTTATTTGAAACTTTCGAGAGTCTTCTTTAATTGATTTGTTGAATATACGCTGGCTGCAAGATGCGTTTGTTACTTTCAAATTAATATTTAAATGAAGAACTTTGTGAAGAATATCACTACGTCGACTTGCCAACAGAGGTCTATGGTTACTCATGTCAATTCTCGCAAGTGCCGAATTACATGAATATCTGTTTATATAGAACTTCTTTCTAACATCTCTCCCAGGCGTCTAAGGTAGGCTCCCACTACATTATCTTACTGATGAGTCTAGTAGTGGGAAGCCGAGACGAAACGCCAACTTGTGATATTCTTCACAATTCTTATTTTTCTTAGATTTAAATTTATTTCTACTTTAATATTATAAGTTTAGAATTTAATATGTCTTTCAACATATTATTAAGATCCAATTTTAAATGCTATAAGCATCAAAAATTGTGATATTACTACGGTAGTTGATTAGATTTGCGTTTAAAGTCCGACGGATGTTCGGCACGCAACGGGGGGGAACTATACTTACGTAGTATATAATATTAGGGTGACCATAAGATATATTTGTGAAGTAGGACATTTGTAGTGAAAAAGTAGTACAAAAGTAGTACACCACCGACCAAAAAAGAAAAAAGATAAAATAGATATACATACAATGCATGACATAAACCGGCTTTTGGTATACATGACATTGCATCAATTATATATTTCATAAATAATTAATATAAAATAGGGCTACGAGCCAAATATTAGTTAAAATATAAAGGTCTTAGTAATAAACAATCATTAATTAAAAATAAATATAAAATTTAATAAAATTCAAAAACAAACGTTTCAACCTTAATTAGGTCATTCTCAATGTTAAGAACCAACTATCGTTAACGATGTACAATGATATTATAAAAATTAAAACGAATACATAATCAAATACGAAAAAACATGTATAAAAATTCTGTGATATGGGTATTTTCAATCTCACTCGCTATTGAAGACATAATTATATCGGCGCAAAATGTCGAGAGTCCATCAACAAAGCAAGACATCAAATAATGTAAATTGTGACTTCACATTTCTAAATAAAATAGTAAAAAAACAATGTCAGTAATAGATAAAAATAATAAAAAAAGAAATATAAAGAAAAGAATATAATATAAGAGTCAATTAATCAAATAGTAATAAAAACAATGTCAGTAATAGATAAAAATAATAAAAAAAGAAATATAACGAAAAGAATACAATATAAGAGTCAATTAATCGAATAGTAATAAAAACAATGTCAGTAATAGATAAAAATAATGATAATAAAAAAAGAAAAATAACGAAAAGAATACAATATAAGAGTAAATCAATCAGCAAAAAAGTCAATTCACAAGGCAATAAATTGAAATGAATATAATGAAAAACTACAACGAAAGTCACTTATATCCATTTTGTTAATTTAGTAACAAATAAATTAAAATAAAATCAATTACCTTGTAATATCGTATCAAGTTAGAACAATGCGAATAGAGACCCATTTTAAGATGTTGATAATAAACAATTTAAAATCAGAATAACCGAACATCTCAAGTACAAAGGAAGTACAAATGGAAATAAGGGGAAAATTAGGAAGGGGTAAAAGTGTAATAAAGTGGGAATAAAAGTGAAAAAGATAAGGAAATTTACGAAGGAGAAAGAGAGTTTATTATCTGAGAATAAGATTCTGGTAAAGCCTCTGTATCATTTTGTTTATTAAGACCCTGTTTTTGCCTTTTGATGTGAATCATTTCAGACACCAATCTCTTATTGTAAGACGATTCAATGTCTAAAATTTGGACATCATCCCATTTAAAATTGTGGTCAAAGTTAATACGATGGTCAGTAATAACAGAAGGAGAACCTGTTCTTTTTCTAATGTCAGACATATGTTCTTTTAGTCTAGTACTAAGTTTTCTTTTAGTCTGACCAACGTAGCTGGCTTCACAATCATCACAGGTAATCTTATAAATAACATTGTTATTAGAACAATGTTCTAATTTATCTTTACCTCTTTTAATAAAACTTTTTAAGGTGTTAGGAATTGAAAAGGCTAATTTACACTGAAACTTGCTGGAGATGGGAAGGAAGCTTTCAGATATGGATTTAACGTAAGGTATTGTGAAATATTTATCTTTCACATGAAAATTATGAGTATTCTGTTGATTATGTATGTGATATTTAATTCTTTGATCAATAGTGGAGAATATAAGGGAAAGAGGATAGGAATTGTTTAAAAAAATTTTTATGGCTTCAGTTATATTCTTTTGTTGGAACCGAGGATGTGCTAAAAGTAAAATCTTGTCAATAAAACTAATAATAATGCCTTTTTTATGATTCATAGGATGGTTTGAGTGGAAATTAAGGAATCTACCTGAGAATGTTTTTTTGTGAAAATTGTCAAAAATAATTTTGCAATTATCAACAATAATAGTAGTGTCAAGAAAGTTTAATCTGTTATCACTGCCAATCTCCATAGTGAATTGCAATCTTCCATGCAAGTATGCAATTGAAAGTATTAAGTGTGTCATCTACACTATCAGGCGGAATAGCAAGAACAATGTCATCAACGTATCTATAATAGAACAATGGTTGTGCCGACAAACAATTAATAGCTTGTTCTTCCAAGTCCTGCATTACTATATCTG